AAAAAAAAAAAAAAAAAAAGAAAAAGAAATATATATAAATTTTGCACATGTGGAATGGAGTGCAAAATTTTCTGCAATCATATCCTATTCTAACTAGATATTAAGTCTCTCAAAGTTATGTGCATGTTTTGCTTCATTGTTGTCATATTATACACTATTACTACACTTGCTCAATATCTTTTTCCAAAATGCTTGGGGCCAGAGTGTTTGGGATTTGGGATTTTTTTAAACTTGTAATTATTTGCATTATACTTACTGGTTAAGCACCTCATTCCAAAAATCCCAAATCCAGAACGCTCCAATGAGCTTTCCCTTGAGGTAAATGTTGGTCCTCAACGTTTTGGATTTTGGAGAATTTGGATTAGGTATACTCAACCTGTACTAGGTTAAAGTGACCCAATTAACAGTCTCATACATGTCCATGTTAATATAATATGAAAAGTCAAAGTAACCTATTTTTACTTGTTGTAAGACATATAACATTTCCATTGAAGAAGAGCAAAAGAATGAAAAGAAATCCCAGACTTAAAAGTACTGTGATCATGTTTGTACCTCTAAAATAATACAAAGGATAAATTAAATAATCAGTTGATGTCATCCATCTAGAGCATAGTAAGGACAGAAAATTTAGAGAAAGTTTAGATTCAGGGAATACATACTGGCTAAAAAACAAAAAGTAGCATTAAGGTGCAAGGGAATATGTATAAGAAACTAGAGATCAAATCAGAATAAAAAGCAAATGTCAGTTGGGCAGCACCTGTGCTCAAGGAATAGGGTGCTGGCCCCATATACCATGGGTGGTGGGTTCAAGCCCGGCCCAGGCCAAAACTCTAAAAAAAAAAAAAAAAAAAAAGAGCAAATTTCAGTTAATCAGTTAAGATAACAAACAGTGCTTTGGAAACAAAACTTTAAGTTGAAACTAGAATAGAATTGTTTCATATGCTTTCCAGGCTTACTGTTTTCTCTCAACATATTTTCTTCAAAACAGGCAGAAACATTGAACGTAAATACTTATACAGCAAACTGGGTTGATGATGATGATTACCTTCTTAGAAAGAGGGCAGAAGTCTCAAATGATTTCAATATCTTTAAGTATAATAAGTATGCTGGCTTTCAAAGAGGCTAGCTTTGAGTTCTTAGCCACCAAGGAAACAAAGCAAAATCTTAGGACTGAGAATACATGTTGGTAAACAGCTCAGTAAAACAAACACGAGTTTCAGTTATAGGAAAGGATGCCATTTATTTTCAGAGGCTGAATTTTATTGTCTTCACTTTAGCATTCATAGACTATCAAATTTGAAGTAATGAAGGATCAACAGAAAAAAAAAACCCAAAGGTCATCTTTATACACTTTCACTCTGCCTTTACCTCCAGTCTCCAAAAGTAATTTCGATACCAGCTTTTGATGAATCAACCATTTCAGACATATTGTAGGCAAAT